AATTCCTAAAGGTTGAAACGTGTTCTTTGCTGCTTTGGCGATAGCTGTGGCTTGTTTCCTGGGGCACTCGGTGACCTCCGTTGGTCAGCTCACACTGGTGGGTCCAGTCTGAGGGAGGACATTCGGAGCCTGGTCCACACAGGACTCATCTGCTCTTGCTGGAAGCCAGGGAGATGCCCGTGACCTGGGAGTGCTGGAGTCTTCAGGTCCTTTCTGTGACCTTTCTGCTGCCCGCGACCTTCCTTCTCATTCCATGGGACTGGTAGCTGTGCCGAGGAGTCTCTCTCTTCTCATGTGTGCTTCTCGACCTTCCCTTTCAGCTCCATTTTCTTTCTTGTTCTTCTCCTTTGGGACTTTCCTGTAATCTTCACAACAAACAAAAAATCATGTTTTCTGTTCCTACCAGATGCTTTGTCATGGGGGGGGGCGGGTCCCTGGCCGTCTGCCCCATTGCCAGAAGCTGAAGTTCCCTCCAGTCCTTTTTTTTCTGTTGTCATTATTATTTTTTTTACAAGTGATCTTGGCCCCAGGTGCTGGCTCGTCTCCTTCCCAGGACCGTGTGTGCGGACTTGTCCTGCGCTCTCTGCCTCCTCCGCTCCCTTCATCCCACCTGTCGGCCTGCCCCTCTCCTTGGCATCTGACTCGGGCTCCGAGTCAGCGGTGCTGGCGCGACTTCCTCTTTCACTAAAGGAACTCTCATTCTTTGGTTTCTGGCCAAGGACAGAACTCAGCTCCTGGCTCTTCTTAACTTCTGGGGTCTCCTTCCCCGTGTAAACACACCCCAACCCCTTGCCCGATTCCCATTCCCACCCATCGCCACACGCTTATTTGGTGGTGATGTCCTTGTTTCAGATCTCTCCTGTGGACCTGCAATGCTCTCTCTTGCTCCTTTGGCCTCCAAGGTCTGCTCAAGGCTAAATGCTTCTCTTTCTTCATTCGCAGCGCTGCCCGAGTACTGTTCTGTCGTTTTCGGATGGATCAGTTATTCTGCAGCTGTTGCCGTCAGTTACAATGGCTTTCAAGGAAGAGAGAGGCACAGAAAACTACTCTGGAAACCATAAAGCCCCCTACAAGGCTTAGGACCATTCAGGAATGAGATGGTATAAATCAGGCTGCAGCTAGGCAAAACCCCCGATTTTGATGATGCAGAAAAAGTGTCTTGAAGACTTCCGAAGCCGGAAAGTGGCCCATCCAGGAAGGGAAGTCTTTTAAGGAGGAAACGGAGTATCTTATTTAGAAGCTGCTGCCAATTTGATTCTTCCTCTATTTAAAGAGAACATGTCTATTTTTATCCAACACTGACGACAAAAGAAACGCCAAGTCCTCCAAAGCTCTTCTTCGCGAGGATTCTCATCTCCCCCACTTCTTGTGCACAGAGGAAGAGGGATGACGGCCACGCGCTTGGGAAACCTGGTGAAGAGTGAAGGGACAGGTCCAGGGTCTTTAGAAGCTCGGGTTACTCCAGAGTGACCAATGATGGAGGCCAGCCAGGCTCCAGTTCCGGGAGGAAGGCTAGGAGGAGGCAGGGTTTCCGTGATGCTGGAGCAGAGGACCAGCAGCCTTTGGAGATGCAGCAGAAGAGTGTTGAATGAGGGGTCTGCGCACCTCTCCTGGATGGAAAAAAGGAAAAAGAACAAAAGGCCCTTTGTGGATGTGAGCTTGTTCCCACTCAGACTCTGGGGCTCCGTGATCATGGCAGCCGCAGTCGGGATGGGAACGCCAGACCCTGTTTTGCTGGTTCCTCTCAGTCCCCTGGGTTCAGTTCCTGTGGCTCTGTCTCCCGGATCCATGTCAAGTCAGGCTCGATGGCTAATGTGACAAGGACAGAGAGGCCCTGTCCTTGGGCTAGGCAAAGCTTGACATATTCCGCGAGGGCACATGCCCAAGTCCTGGGGCGGCCTAGCAGAAGCAATCCTGGGTTTCCACGCTGCGTCCAGGCAAGTCCCTGATAACACGGGCCATCGTTGGGATTTATCCCCACGGCACGTCCCAGACACGTCACTGTCAGGAACTCCCCAGACTTTTTTTTTTTTTTAGTTGATGGACCTTTATTTTATCCATCTATTTAGATGTGGTGCTGAGAATCGAACCCCGTGCCTCACACATGCCAGGCAAGCACTCCACCACTGAGCCAACCCCAGCCTCCCCAGCTTTCCGACAGAATGTCTGGTGTTATAAGAACTTGGGAACACTTCACATCCCTCCGACTTCAAGATCCAGATATAAGGGCCTGGTGAAAGGCTTCTGCTCTTGGCATTTTTTGTACTTAGACCTTCTACTTCTGAGGGGCACTCTCAGCCCTTTTTATTGTTTTAGTTGGAAACTGGGCCTTGCTTAGTTGCAGAGGCTGGCCTTGAACCTGGGATCCCCTGCCTTGGTCTCCAGGGTGGAGGCTCACACCACTGCGCTCGGCTTGTTCTTTGCAGTACAGGACACACTGCAACCCCCGCTGGCCTGTTACTGTGACTTCTGATGGACTCCAGCTGGCGGTTCTGGGCAGTCGCTGTCGGGCCTCTTGTGAACATCCTGGGCCTCCTCCTGACTTCCTGAAGCTTGACCAACAATTCAGTCCTGTCGTTTGCCTTCCCATCAGTGTTGGAGCCTAGTGCTAGGTTGGGGCTCCCTCCTCTCTGGATCCCAGGGGATGGAACTAGTGGTTTCTTCCATGGGGACATGCTCACCCCAGAATCTTCTGCGACAGCTCCTGCCTCCGGGCGTACAAGTCTGAGCTCGGGAGTGGCTCAGTGCTCCTGCAGCACCCTCTGGTGCTCCGGGGCGACTCCAGCGGCTGCATCCACCCCACCTGTCCTCCCAGGTCTTGCACCAATGGCTTCAGAAAGAGAAGTCGGTCATTCAAGACGTCCGTATTTGCTTCTCTTAGCTCAACTTGCTTCTCCCCCAGGTAATGCAAACTTCCTCTTGCTGACAGGAACGAGGCCTTTTTAAATTTGGAACCCAGCACCCAGAGCAGTGCCTGACATATCGTCAAAACTCCATGTTCGAAGAGCGACTGAACAACTGAATAGGTGAACAACTCTTTCCCTTCATGGCCTGCGGAGGAGGAAACGCGATTAACTTTCCCCAAAGAATCTTACTTTCTGCCTTGATGACTGAGAACTGCTTCCTAAACTTCCCTCTGCACAGAGCCCGTTTCTAAACAATACTCAAGTAGGCTGAGTTCTTAGGATACGGACACATCCCAGCCCTGCGTCCACCATGCTAAAGAACGCAGCCCTATGTGATCAGCTCAAATTCACCCTGTCCGATTTTTCAACTGCTTTCCAGGGTGGACGATTCTCTTGTATTTGCCAGCCTTGTCCCCCTGGGTAGACCACCTGGAAGAAGGACTTTGTATTGCTTTTGTTTTTTTCTGTTGTCAGTTTTTATCACTGGCTTGACTATGGGCTTGAACACCTGCTGATCCGACCTGCAGATCACTGGGTAGGATGACAGATTTCGGGCTTCCAAACTGGGCAAACAGAACTCTTCCCAGAACTAAAACTGAAATGCAAAGTGTGGGGGGAGAGCGAGAAAGCACACACGAAAAAGCTTCAGTGTCCACTACGTCTGTGTCCCTGAGTGCTGCCTTTGGACAGCTCCCGCACCCCAGTCATTTTTTAAACCACAGAGCACTCATTTGCAACATAGGAGTATCGCATGTGAATATTAAATGTTTATTCCATGCCAGGCACCGTTCTAGGAACTGAGGTCACAGCACTGAATATAACAACCTCTCCTCACTGAGCTTATGTAGGAGAGAGATAACAGATATATAGTATGAAGTAGTAATGCATGCTTTGAAAAATACTGAGCACTCACAGAAGGCACGTTCTTCTAGTCTAAGGGTGGAAGCCACACAGATGCCCATCAGCTGAAGATGGATGAACAGATGGATTATTATTTGGGCATGAAAAAAGGTTGAGGTATTGATGCAGATGAACCTTGAAATCAGTAAGCTACAAAACCAGACACAAAAGGTCACATATTGTATTATTTCTTTCATAAAGAAAACCCAGAATAGGCAAATCCAGGGGGAGAGAAAACAAATTATCAACTGCCAGTAGCCGGGAAAGAGAGCCATTGCTTAATGGGTATAAGGTTTCCTTTTGGGGTGAGGAAATAATTCTGGGCCTGGAGGTGATGCTTGTATAATATTATTAATGTATTCAACATCATAATGGTAAATTTTGTACCTACTCTATTAAAAAGTTCCTGGCGTATGCCATCCATCCCACAAACCTATATTATCTCTTACAGTGAAATAATAAAGATGTCTCTCAAAACAGGAGACCCCCGGGGTAATGATGGTCATGCAGCCTTTAAGAGCATGAACAAGATACTAACACGTGGCTTCCCAGGATGCAGAGTGGAAGGAAACCATGTTAAAACACACATGTCCACGGACACAGGTCCATGCGTGTCTGGAAAGCGACAGGACTGGAGGTCAGCACCGGGCCAAGGAGAGCAGGTCACCTCCAGGCTGAAGGCCAGGAGCAGGCCATGTTTTCGTCATGAACTTCATTCCTGCCACATGGATTTTCCGGGTGAACAGTCACAGCACGTCGAGGCTCTGGATGACAAACTCGGAGTCAGTCCCGGGACCCAGCAGTCAAGCACCCTGATCTACTCAGAGGGGGTGCTATAGGAAATGCAGAATCGAGTGCAGGGGAGGTGATTTCCAGAGTGGAGAACTAAAATGTACTGGCTTCACGCTCTGTATGAGAGGATCAACTTGTCCTGGTGTCATTTTCTCAGTGCAAAAATCCCCCTTCGATGCTGGGGAGTGGGCTCCACAGACAGGCCCCGGGGACAAGGCGAGCTGTGCTGCTCAGAGAGCAGAGCCCCCCGTGGGCGCCCGACACCGCAGGGTCCCGGTGAAGGGCCAGGCACTTGGTGGAAAACATCTGCCCACGGGTCCCTGGCTTTGTAAAGAATGTGTTTAAAAGTTACGGCGGTTCAGCAGCACAAGACAATACTAAGAAAAGCCATCCACAAGTCTCAACTCTTAAAAAAAATCATTTTATTGATCCTTTACCATACAAAATTTATTCAAATTACATCCATTTGAAGTGGTAAGATCACAGCTAGAGAACAGGTCGCCCTGTAACAAATCTATTTACAAAATCCATCATAAAAGCTTTTTTGTTGTTGTTGTTGTTTGGTTTTTTCCTTTTTTTTTTTTACATTATTATATTACATACTTTCTTTTTTAAACTAGGGTACAACACAAAGCTAAACTGATTAGTAGGTTGCCTACTCCCAATCTTGGGAGAAATACTTCCTTTTTTGACAAAATCGCGTACCCCATAGGAAGAAGCCCCCTCACCCTGACGCGTGCCATCTGACCGGCTCCGCCAGGCCCTTTCCTGCCCACTCGGCCCGCCAGGCACGCAGAGGTCTTGCCTCCTCTTTCCTGAAAGCTAAAGCCTTAAATACTGCGGTTCTATTTACAGATCTACACGGACGACAAAAACGAAAACGAGAACCACAACGAAAAACGAAAAAAAAGGTCACACTCTTAAAAAATTACAAACCAGCTAGAAAATATTCTGGCAGTGTTTACAAATTAATTGCTATTTTTTTTTTTTGTACAAAATTGCTAAATAATGAAAAAGGTGAGTCGACTACATGTCCACTTAAATAAAGCGATCGCTATGCACAAGTCTGTACATATGAACACACGCCTAACACTGTTTGACAGCTCATGTGTCGCCCGCTGTACACTCTAGTTTCTAAGGCTCACGCAGTCATAATCCGCACTCGCAACTCTTAGCCATTTCGTGTGTGAGCTTTAGTAGCAGCAACTCAATGGTACCAGGAAACCTGCATACTCAGTACTTAAAAGGAACACAAACACTGTAGTACCAACCCACTTTGTGTGCCAGATACTAGGTGAAAAGAAAGGGGTTAATGCAAACAGAAAGACAGGATGGACGTCTCATGAACGTACACCAGGCAAGGCCCATAACTGGGAAAAATCTTATGCACGAAGGAACTTTTAAGACTTATTAGTATTCCTTTCATTTTTTTTTTTTAAACAATAAATACGGCATTACATTAAGAAGAGGTTCAACGAGAAAGTCAACAAAACACACAACAACCCAGCCGGGGGAGCTCAGTCTTTAGACTTTGGGGAAAAAAGATCAGCTCTGTGCAGCTGGCGAGGAGAATCACACAAAGCCGGAGGCAGAGGCAGCTAACCGGAGGACACAGACACGGGAAATGGGGAACGCTTGGCATCAACGGTTTCCCGCACAGGAAAATCCCCACAGTGCATTTCCAGTAGGCACTTAACACAGAGTCCCCGCCCTCCTCCACCCCATGCTGCATCTCGGACCACACGGCTGTTCCGTACCAAGTCCAGTGTGTGTGAGGGAGGCCGGGGATGGAGGCTGAGGAGGAGAGAGGAAGAGAGTCTGCACCTTGGTTTTCCTTCCCAAGCACACACCACGCATACCCACACACAGAGCTTAAAGTGCTGGTGTCGTCTGTCTCGACCCCACCACCACTTTGCATATTGGGGAAATCTACCTAGAGTAAACTGGCCGGGGTTCTTGTGGTTTTGGAAAAGGTTTTCCTAAGGGACATTTTCGATTCGGCTGGATGCGTCGAGTGCCCACCGTGTGCCCACGGGCGGGCCGGGCACACGGCGTCTCCATTCAGCTGTTGGCTGGGAGGTTTATTTCCCAAGACCCCTCATTTCCGCAGCCCTTGCGTCCAAGGATGGACTTGAGGTACTGTGCCACACTCCCAGGACAGGGCGGCCGCGGCCACCTGTCCCCAGGAAGGCCATCTGGGACGTCCATGACGGGGAGGATGTGCAGTGACAGGAGGCCTGTGATGGGGACACCATTCCTGAGGAGTAGAGGGGACGCCCTGGCCTCCAGCGCCGGGTTCCCCACCCTCCGGCGCCCCTTCATCCAGCTCACTCCTTCATGGAGAAGGGGCGCGGGTCCGGCCAGGACCATCCACCCGACAGCGGGGCCCGTCTCACCAGCTGACGGAAGGGCCCTGCAGAAGGCCGCTCCCGGGACGCCTCCCCCGCCCCCTCCCCGAGGCCTCTCCATCTGACCCCACCCTGAGAAGTGGTCTCCCTGAGTGTGGCTAAGAGCCCTTTCCCCGGGCACAGGGGCCCGGGAAGCCCAAGGACGGAGGGGTCCCTGCCTGCTGCTCCCTGGGACTGCTTCGTCGTCGGACCTGCTGTCCTGCCCCACAGCTTCGCATGTCAGCCAGCTCCAGGGCTCCCCTCCTGGGAAAGGAAGCCAGATGGGACACTGCTTCCTGCAGAGGCTGGTGGACCTCAGGTCACACAGGCTCACGAGGTTCTCTCCCTCTGCTAAAGAAACACGAATTTGCAAAACCTGCTTCAAAGTAAACACTTAAACTGAACGGTGATGGCAGCCACAGGGATGCTTCAGTGGCAGCTAGAAAAGATTGAAAGTCTAGAACGATCCACAAAGAACACCTAAGTAGGCATCTGCTACAAATCAACTGGAAACTCACAATACGCTGGGGACGGGGCTGGGAGTGGTGTGTGGAGGCAGGAAAACCCACAGCAGCTTCGAGCGCCAGAGCTCCAAGAGCTTCTGTGTCTGCATCAAGTACTCTGAGAACAGGTTCTTCATCCGAGAGGCTGCGGAGGATCTCGCGACCTCCTGGTGGGACACACAGTCCATAGCTTAAACTGAATTATGACAGTAATTTAAATATTCCTAAGAAGAGCTGAAGAAATCCATTTCATACTTTTGCATAACTTCAAGTTTGCATTGGCTGCAGTTCCATTCCAGATTAGCAGACCCCAAAGACATGCATTCTGCAGAGAAGGCACGGCTTGAAATGCTGTTAAGGAAGATTGCTGTTTCCCAGCGGGCCAGGTGGCCAGACCCCATTCTACAGCCCATCCGTCAGGCACAGCAAGCCAATGGGGGGGGGGCAGAGGGACGGGGAGAGGAAGAGGACAGGTGAGAGACACCTGATTGCACATTTTCTCACTTGTTGACTCGTCCAGGAGATTTTGGAGCCTGGGACAAGGCAGGGCTTTCCCAAGGGAGCCTGCAACTGTGCGCTTAGACAATTAAGAAAAAAATTCATTAAAATGTCAGCTTTGTTCCGAAGTTTGTAGTTTACTTCATGGTACTCTCTTAGAGGAAGAAGGTGGGAAGGGTCAACACTGCATGACAGACGCTCTGGTTCCATGATAAAAAAATATCCGTTTATCAGGAGAGTTCACACAAAGCAGGATCAACTACACATGAAGTCTTCCACCAGCGGGAGCTTTTCCAAATCGTAAGCGTCGAAGAGATCGCTGATGCCTTCTTCCTCGCCCAGGCTCAGCAGGTAGTCCTCCTGGAGCAGGGGGGGCAGCAAGTTCACAAAGGGCCCTTCCAGGTTGGAAGGAATTTGGTCCTCAGTCTGCTGTAAGAGGTTGGCGGGGGAGGCCAGGGGAGAGAGGTTTGCCATAGAAACCGAGCAATCGCTATGTCCTGAGTTGTTTGAAGCCAAGTCTGAAAGGGAAACAATGGGTGTAAACAAAGAGTTAGGAGAAAAATCAAATTCATTTTTCTGGAAGAATGAGTAGGTCACCGTTGCTCCGCTCCCCAGGACGGCTTTCTGGTACAGATCACCTTTTATGCTAACAGGCATGGAGGAGTGTGTCCTAGCCTAACTCATCCTTTCAAACACCCACTGTCAGAAAACAAGAACCCAGCAGCTTCAAAGACTGGAGGCTAACGAGTTCAAAGACTTCCCTCCAGTACCTACTCATTGTTTTGAGAAAAACAAAACACACAGAGTTAAAAGTCGGCTCCCTAGTAGGAATTCACTAATTTTAACTTCTTTTTGGAACGACCAGCTTATTAGAGATATTGCATAGAATAAGACACATTCATTTGGAATCTCGATGGTGAAAAGGGTGGTCTTTTGCTTTACCAGCTCGGGTGCTGTGTATTTGCTCAGTATTAAATCAGACCAATTCACTGAAATCACTCCTATTTTTGCTGCTATATTAGCAGATGGTAGGGTAGAAGATGCAAAAAGCTTTGTCCTAGCCCCAGAGGGGGAAGGGGAAGTTAGGTTTATTTCCCCCCATATCCTGTCCCCACCACGGGAGGGAGATAAGACAAAACAGCCAAGCCTCTTCTGCCCACACATCTTCACGTCCCTCAGTCTCTGCACAGGGTTCAAAGGTGCATGGCCAGGTGTAGCTGATGCCCTCCAAGAGTGGCACGACCTCGGTCCTCACTTCAGCAGCCCCCAAAGCACTGAGGAAACGGTTTCTGCTGATGACAGAAGCCTGAGGGACTCTGGTAGCAGAGGAGGAGCCATGTGCCCAAGATCGTTATTCTAAACTGTAAACAGCCTGGCTTAGACTACTCCCTCAGTAACAGGAGAAGTTCCGACACTCTCAACATCGTTTCCAAAAGACAAAAGGGGTCTTTACCTTTGGAAGTGGGTTTGGGGATATTCCCATTGTGGTCTTGGTTGTTTGCTTTCATTGGACTGTGGGTCTCAGTCTCTTCTGGACACAAGTAAACCTCAATGGGTCCTTGGGTACTTGCCAAATGTATTTGTAGGCTCTGGGAACAGAAGTGGGAGAAGTTCAACCCAGAAGCTCTTTTAGAAATGAAAACCTCAGCCATTTTCATCTACAAGTGGACTGTGAGGGTGACATTCATTGTTCCTTTTGGGTCTTTAATGGTGGTCTAACTCCAGGGACAACTGTTAACCGCTAGAGCAGGGCCAGCGGGCTACAGCCTGAGGGCCGAATCCCAACCCCTGACTGGCCATGCAAATAAAATTTTACTGGAACTGAATCAAGATGGTTCTAGTCGTTTGTGGCTGTTTTCATGTTACAGCGGCAGAGTTCAGGAGCCAACAGCCGGCACAGAGGGTGCACGGCTCACAAATCCACAGCCAGGCACCATCTGGCACTTAGACCACAGTCTCTTTCTATCTTCTATGCAATCTCTGTCTTATAGTTTAGGTCTATATTATCAAAGAATATCCAAAAGCAATCACAAAAATATACTCCCTACTTTCTTAAATCTTTCCATTTCCCCAAAGTCATTTTTAAGTTCTTTAAACACTATGAGTAATTTTTTAAAAAAAAAATCTTAAAATGTGCTAGGTTACGGAGATACTTGAAAACACGGGTATCTCTGTTCATGGTGGGGGCCCACGCACAGGGGAATCGATGTAGAATTTCCCGAGTGGTTCTAACTAATCAGAACCAGCAGAGAGTCAACTGTGAACAAGAAAGCAGGAAGGGACAAGGCGTCTGACAGCTCTAGTTGAATGTTCCGCTAGGTTGAAAATAGACTTTTTGGATATTGAACAAACAGTGAACTGTTAAAATGTTTTTAAATTTAGGGTTAAGCAAAATAAAGTGTCAAGTGCTCAGCAGGGGCAGATGCCAACCAGAATCACTGGTTCTTGAGCACCAGGCCCCGCAGAGGTCCCTCTGCAGAGGCACACAGATGCCGGCTCCTTACCTCTATTGAATCAGGCACTTCAAGTCTTGTTTCTGGAGGGGCTTTCACAACTATAACAGTTTGGTCTTTAAGGCCACTAATTTTTCGAATATCTTGATATGTAACATAAGCTAACGTAGTGAGCGTTAAGGAAATCTTCGTCTAATTGCCTCGAACACAGCCATCATGAAATATGACAGACAGACACATGGAAAAAATTCAAACCACTGTGTGACTTGGAAGAATACATATGCCCGTCCTTGCGAATCTTCAATATATGGGGTTCCTCCAGTGAATCTTTATTGGTTGATGTTGTAGACAACAAAAGACATGTATACTTTACCGTGCCCATTTCTCAAAAAAGTCTATGGCTATTTCAAGTATTACAATAAACACAGAAACAGAAGAGTTAAATCATCAAATAAAAAAATCAAAACTCATTTAGGTCAGGGATTTCGAAGCCAGGTCCCTTTAGCCAAGGGTATTCCATGAACTCTAATAAAGTATTCTGTCACTCAAATTGAATGATGGCTGATCCCAAATTGCAGGAAAAATTTAAGGTCTACCAATCATGATTTTTTTTGGAGCTCCAATCACTTCTTATGCTATTAGTAAGTGCCAGCAGCCACCAAGTGAATGAATAAGTAGCAAACGTCTCAGTGTCAGAACTCCGAACGCTGCTCAGGCAGACGGCTTGTTTTCTTAAGTGCACCTGGGCTGGTTGTGATTATATATCACCTACAGATAAGTGTCATTATTTCTGTTAGGAAAATTATCCTTTGTGTGATATTATGAACTCTACAGATATTTCAGTGTTCATAAGGATCCCTCCCAGGTGCTCACGACCTGAATGAATCGGAGCAACGCTGACGGAGGAACATTTCACTACTCCTGGGAGAAACTTCTGAGTACTGCACAATTCTTTTGAAGTGTCCTGCAAGCACAGCCTCAAGAGACATGGTGACAAAACACGGCACTTACTTTTGCCTGCACTGTCAGAGAACAGGCTGCATGGCTTTCTGTGCAAGGGACATGGAGGAACATAATTAACGTACAGTGTATTTAGCGGAATTCTTCTTATATAAACCCACAAAATATGGGTAGGATAAAACAGCAAAGTCAAGTAAAGCATTTCTGCAGGCGACACAGCTGATAGTGTCTGTGATCCGGCCTGTGTCGGGGCCTCGGGGAGCCTGGGCAAGTGGTGTCCCTGAGACTGGAGCTTCTCCTACATGGAAGGAAGTACGCGTCCATGTTCCGGAAAGAAGCACAGCCACATGAAATCTGCTCTCGCACGTGGGGACAACTGTCACGGACCCTCCTCTTCAACTCTCAGCCGTTCGGACCACAGGAGGGTCAGTGTGCGCTCGATGGTGACTGCCCTTTCAAGAGTCTGGGTGATGGGTCGTCACTGTCCCACCAAGGAAGCCAAATGGGGCCTTTGTTGAAGACCAGAGCGTTCTGGTCCTTTCTGAGAGCCCAGGGAAGCCAACCACCAGGCTCCCACGCTACAGCCCGCTGTCAGAAAGCAAGGTGACGAGGACTTATTAAAATGAAAATTCATCTACAATTACTCAACATGATGCAGGAAGAAAACTTTCAACACATTTGTGAACAAGCTGCTCCAAATTGGGAAATGAATGGCGAACTGAAATAAATTGTGCAAACACATTTTCTAATCTTCCAAACTTAAAAGTGCTTCCTTTGTGGCTCCCTCCCGAATCTGCTTCTCGGGTGAGCCGTCCCCTGCAAGGACGCTTTTATTTTCTGCAATAAAGGCCCCAGAGAAGGCGAGCACAGGTGACAGTGGTACGGGCCACATGCTCCAGAAAGCTGCCAATCAGGTGCAGCCACAGAGCACTGCCCAGCGGGCGCCCCACTGAACAAGGAGGGAAACTCACTGCTGGTCTCTCCCTAAACCCACTCGGCACCCTGGGGCTTCCAGCCGTCACCCCTCTTCTCCAGCTCACAAATGTTCAGCCAGCAAGGTCAATCCTCTGGTCAACAGGAAATGAACAGTTGCAAGTTTTTAAAAAAAAAAAACTGCTGGAATTGAAAAATAAATGTCCCCAGATCCTCTAAAACAGGGTCTGCTAGAAATGAGACCCTAGGTGACTATGGGCAGGGCACATTTTATTTTCTAACAAAGATAAACGTGGAGTCATCAGAAGATTGAACCTAAAGTTAGGGATGAGGTAACATATGAATTGTTTTTATCTGATCACTGAGAATATTGGCAAATCTTGTCGACATAATGAAGTAAACTCCCTCTTATTTTGTTTGTAGTAAGATGATGAAGAACAAGTTTTCCTTTGACAGTTAAAAAAAAAGTGTCAGTAAGTTGAAAATAAAAATCGGCTTTTCATATTTTTATTTCTGAGGACTAATGTTTGAAGAGGAACAGGCAAGTTGAGATTTCTCAGGTCTTGGGGTGCTTGTGAAATCCGTTCTTGGAATCAGCATAATGCACTTTCAGGGTTAGAGTACAATTTTTCTATTCTCTTCCAAACCCTTCCACTATAGCCCAAGTGGAGAGATGCACCAAACTCTAATTGCTACAGTGTCTGATGGAAAGAAAATAGAATGTGAGAACCCCAACAGTGACAGCTAACACCCACCAAAAATCTGGGAAGCCAAAGACGAATCTGCCGAGTGTTGTCATTAATATTAATACTGACACTTTACGTATCTTTTAATAGTGTGGCATTACGCTATGAGCGTATCCATATGTTCCAACCACACATGAATATAATGCTTTGAAAAACAGTTCCCTCTTGGCTATCAAAATAGATAATGACAGGATCCAGTCGGATGACTATCTTACCATAAACACTGACTTTGGAGGCAAAGCTAAGAGAGTTTGCACACACAAGGGTGTACAAACACACGCAAACACACTCATTTGCACAAGACCACAGTAAAATCTACCTTAGGCATAAGTCGGACTGTGAACTCTGGAAATAGTCCAGAAGGCACAGCCCCAGTGAACCGGCGGCACAAAGGATATCTTTGATTCTCTGAATCCTCGGTTAACAGTTTGAGGTCCAGGGTGCAGCTTTGGATCAGTTCATCTAATTTCTTCTCTTCCTGACTGAGCTCGGTCACTTCTTTGGACAGGCCTTGACACTGGGCCAGCATGCCCCCGTCCTCAGACAGACTGCAGCCCCTAAAACCCAAACACAGACTCTTTGTGGCTACTCAGGAGAGAGAGGACAGGGAGAGCTGGTCCTTTGGGTCAGTGTCCCCTCTTACCACAGGAGGTCACGGTGCTCGTTAACCGATTGTTAAAGTGAGAACCTTAGGTAGGGTTTCCATAAACACAGCCCTGCGCTCCTCATACCATAGAAACTGGGTGAAGAGGCAGAAATTCAGAGGGCAAAAAGAGTGCAGCCACCTCGCTCCCGACTGTCCCCACCGGCCACAGGCCTCCTGGGAGAGAACGGGGGAAAAAGCATAAAAAGACAGACAGTAAGATGGAATGGTTCGAAATTCAAAAAAACATCATCCATAAGCACAGAAGACCCAGGTGATTTCCGGGGGTCTTACACCAGCAGCTAAAAAGAAGGTAAGGGAAAGAGATGTGCTAAGTATCTGTAGGAACAAAGGCCAGCACTCAACAGGTTTCTCTAAAGCACAGGTCAAAATGGGTCACCAGACCGTCCGATTCCAAAAAGCGCCAGAAGGTTATCTATTCATCTTATAATGCTTGAAATCTATTTTTTCGAAGCCACCCTAAAACAGATTTATTCCTGCTGATGTGCTGTGACAGTTCAAAGCTGTACTTACAAAACACTGGCTCTTTAGAGGCTCTGCCCAGGATCACGGATGACGGGCGTGTGGGCGTACTGGGGACAAGGGACACCATTCTTCTTTAGAGAAGAGACTGGGACAGGTGTGTCTCGCTTAATTTACACAGAATGGGAGTCAGCTCACCAGGACCGGGGACACACACTCCGTGACGGTGTGGTTGTACAGCCCTCATCTCCAGATCCTCTTAGAGACGGGCTAGACACGTGTGAACTCTATCTGATCACACACGCGAGAGGCAGACCTCAGTGCGACGGAGGAACAGTGTTCCATTAACAACTTCCTCCTGGACCTCGGGTCCCTCGCTTGATGCATTTCAAACGGAAATCCTTCTACCCCTGACAGTATCGGGATGGGAGCTGTGCATGCACAAGACTTCTGCCCAGGAAGCCGAGGAGGGAGGAGCTGGGAGCGGGGGCTACTCACATCCACTGCACGTTGTTCTTGGACTTCTTCTTGATGAGGTGGATGCCCTCCAGCACGTTGGTGATGTCGTAGATCCTCCTCTTCTGGACCTTCAGCACCTCCGCTGCCTTGTTCAGGTCCAGGACCCCGTCCGGCGACTGGCTCAGCAGCTGAATGAACTTCTTGGTGAGCAGACCCAGGGACGTATCATACCGCGTTTTTTCTGAGGGAGATTTTGGAGCTTAAAGAAAAACAAAACCCGAGCGGGTGGGGGATAGGGGAGAGGTAAAGAAATGAAGGGTTTCTCCGCAGTTCAGCAAGCCCTCGTCCCGCTGCAGCCCGAGGATTAGCATCTGAAGCAAAGCTCTTGTTGGGGTCCGGGGTGGGGTTGCAGAAAGCTATGCCACTGCTTTACTTGAAGAAGGGGGCTGATAAATGCCTGTGTGTGACCATAGACTTTCCCTGGACTTTTTAAAGTGGCTTCTACTTTGGCTTACCCTACTCCCTGGATCTAATGAAGTATCTCACACACAGTAGGTGCTCAAAACGATCTGTTAGGTGAGTGAAAAAACTCTGTAGCCTCTGGGAATTGCACCTGTGGGCTGAACCCGAGGGACAGGGCCACCCTCTCTCCAGGACAGGGTCTCAAACAGACTCATGTCAACTTGCCTTGCCGGCTCTGGTGTGTGTGGAGTGTTTGAAACATTTCTCAAATGTTGTTGAAGAACACCGGGAAAAGTCTTTCATCGACTCTCTCCATCTCTTGCAAATGGAATTTCCTTACTGAATATTGTCTTTATCATGGTATAGGTGCAGGACCGAGGTTTACGTTCAGCAGTGGGTGCACGCTGCGGACGGCCTAAAGCACAGACTGTAGCTACAGAATAAAGGGTAAAGTAGCTCTCCCATTAAATAATGCCAATAATTTGCAAAGGGGCTACTTGGCTATTTCTAACCCACTGGCCTCTTTCTCTCCCCAAAGAAAGGATGACAGTGTTTGATGGAAATGGGAACTGGCTGCAGTGTATTGGGTGCAATCGATTCTTCTGCACCATGTGGGAGGCTGAGATGGAGGTCGGCACAGACATGACTGACAGGCACAGTTCATCGACACCCGGCTAGTCTCGGCATCTGCAGTAATGCCCATGAAGGGAAGTCAAAATAAAATTTGATTATAGAACAAAGATAGGCCAAAAGCCTGTCTCCGAGGGCAGAGTCAAATTGCCTTCCGCTAGAGAAGTCTCCCCACCTCGAGTCAGTAGTGGGGTGCTACAGTGAACGCAGGTGTCTGCAGGCAACGTATTCAGTTTGGACAGGCTCAGAAAGAGACGAAAAATGAACCAATCATGCCAGAATTGTCCATGCCTTGCCACCTTCCAGCCACAAGCTCTGCAGTGGGGACCCCACACTGAGGAGAAGAGGAAGGACGGGGAAGAACCCTTACTTTTTGGACTGTCTGGACTTCGCAGCGCGGCTCTTCCTTTGCCCTTGGGGGTTTTTAAACCATCTGAGAGGTACTGATGGCCGCTGTCTCCCAGCTCCAGCCTTCGCTTCGCCTGTAGTGAGAGAGTGCAATGATTGTCACCAGTCATGCCGACGGCCACAGAAGGCTGCCCGTGCTCTGCCCTGCCAAATGCTGCCGGCTCTGCCAGCTCTCAGCCCTCGGGCTGCCTCCAGGGGCCAGGCCGCACAGAGCGCTCTGCACCCACAGCGGTCGTGCGTTCTCTCGATGGGCAGACCTGGCAACCCTCGTCAACCGTTCAGGTGCCCCTTGGCTCACTGAGCCACTGATTCAACATCCGTGCCAGGAATGGGGCTGGAGGCTACGAACATCACAGGCTGGGGGCTGACTTGGACCCCCTTCCGCTTGCTCCCCAAACACGGTTTATTTGTATCCTAACACTTATTGGTTTTACTGTAGAAGTTACTGTACTTATCTGTTTCTCATTTTAAGGCAGAGACTGTTTCCCATTTATCTTTGTATACCCAGTGCTTGGCGCAGAGCCTGGGTTTCTGTAGGCATTCAATCATTCTCTATTTATTCATCAAAAGAGTGACTGAGTGGTAACACAACTAGCCACAGACTACAAACGGTCCATCATCAGAAAAAGAAATACTGCAAATATGCAACCGTGGGCTTCAGACCAGGGTTACTTTCTCCAGGTTATCACCGAGCCTGGCAAATGAGAAGCCCTACGTTTTTAACTTAATTCTATTCCACTTTTAAATATCTGGGCAGTGTCTTCTATGCACTGGGAACTGTGCTTAGGGTACAGAGGTAAGCAAGACCGACGAGAGTCCCTGTCTTCCTGGAGCTTACAGTCCGTCTCGGACTGAAGACCGATGACTAAGAGGTGACTGTTAGGTACCAACTGCACAGCCAGGATGTGTGTTCAGACCCAAGTGGCTCCAACCAGCCCCAGTGTGGAAATGGCGTACGTGGGCTCATTGTGGGGAAGATACTTCTAATCACTCCCTGTGAACAGTAATGACTTACAAGATGAGATATCCAGTTCTCGAATGAAAAAATGACCAACTAAACCTTACTGTCCTCTACAGCAACCCCTGCCACCTGCTCATCTGAATCCACATGGGTGGTGAGTGTAAAATACACGCTGGATTCCAAAGACACGGTACAAAAAAGGGACACAGGTGCTGGGGATGTGGTTTAGTGGTAGACATTTTGCCAAAAAAAAAAAAAAAAGAAACAGTACAATCTCCATAACGTGACACTGATTCCACATTAAAATGAACTTTGGCCTTATAACATCATTAAGCAAGTGCAGCCCTACTGGTTATTACTTCACCTGGTTCCCACATGTTGCCCTGTGGCCTCCATTTGGGGCCCATATTCTCTGTCCACTAGATCTGGACGGTGCTGAGCTATGAAGCTATCTGTGTATAAGGGCAATTTGGTAATCTGCTTTCTTGTTTTGGGAGCAGGGGGCCATGCTAAGGATTGAACACTTGAGCGTGAGGTAAGTGCTGCTGCTGAGCTCTGTCCCAGCCCAGCAAGCTGCTTTCTCCACGCCATTGTGCCCTCCCAGCTCTGCCATGAATCCTGGGGTCGGGGGGCCCTGTTGTTTTGGGTGGCCTGGCAAACACTCCAGCTTTGTTTGGGGGCTGACCTTCCCAGTCAACCCGGATCACCCGCACACAGTGACCCAGGCTGGGCTAATCACTGTGCTCCATCCTGTCCCTCCCCTGGTGAATGGGTTGGGAGGCACGTGGCCAAGGCTGGGTGAACAAGGGACAACCCCAGGAATTTTCCTGGAACTCCTGGCAAGCAGTTGTGTCCTTTCCAGTAGGGCTGATAAGCCAGGAGCCAGAGGCTACCTGGGAAGGAGCCCGCAGGGGAGGCAGAGTGGAGATGGAAGGGCATTCCAGGCTGGGATTGGGCACGGGGCTAGGGCCGCACATGGGGTGACTGCTGGTCTTCCCCAGTTGCAGTTGTATGACCAACAAAATCTTCCTTTTGTCTTTGTGGTGCTGGGGATTGAACCGAGGGCCTGTGCATTCGAGGCAAGCTCTCTACCAACTGAGCTACATCCCCAGCCCCCAAAGTCTCCTTTTGGCATCAGCTTTGAGATGGAACCTGGACGGCGGCTGCAAGACTGAGCCAGGCAGGCAGGGCTGCGAGGGGAGCTGGCAGGCCCAGGGAGAGCGCCGGACTGTGGGGGTCCCTTCCCGTGCTCAGTGGCCATACCACCTAAAAGCAGATCAACGGCTTCGCTATGGAAGCCTTTTCTTCTCTGAAGAAGGCGATCCAAGAGGACGCACAGCTTATCCTTTGCCCAAGCTACAGTCAATAGAAGGCGGGCAGAGTTGGAAAAGATTTGAGACCTAGAAATCCTGGGTCCCTGGAACTATATTCTCCACCAAGCCCATGGTTCAAGAAGCGCCCCTGTCAGTTTCTCCCTCCATCCCATACTAGTGGTTCAAATTGACTTGAGGCTCACAGATGCATGAGGCCACAGGCTAGGGACATTCCCAGAGGTCTGCTGTCAGAGACTGGGAACTTCAAGGACCATGGCTAGTCTCCAGGTGTGATTTGGTGACTAAGCCTCCAGATGAGATGACCAAACCTAAACCTAAACACCAGATTAAAGGCACTTTTACTGCCAGAGAATCATTAGGTTCAGAAAAGAAAGGCCTCTGACGCCCCAGCCTCTCAAGGGAATCAATCACTAGGCCCACCCACAAGTCCACACGGGAAATAAATGAGGAGACCACAGTGGCTCCATAACCAGGCCCATCTCCGCCCAGTGGCTGGTGCTCCTTGAGAACGTGAGCAACGACGGCAGGTGACACCTGTACGGCGTGACCCCTTCTTGAACGATGTTCTCTGGAGGGTCGTCCTTTATTCTCCCTCCGCTGCTTCGTGGATGGGGAGGCTGACCTGGACTTGAGGGCTGCAGGCTACCTGGGTCCTGTGTGTCCTTAGTCTGAACGGGGTGCGTTGACTGCAGTCCCTCTGGGGGACAGGCTGAGCACTGATATACGGTGGAGCAGGATCGTCTCAGTGCACAGCAGATGCAAGCACACACGGATGAGGTGGCAGGATTTCAATAGTTCATGTGGTCTCCGCCTACGCTGCCCGGCTCTGGGCTGAGCAGCA